TTTTCTCTTGTAGAATTCGGGGGTCCTCAAATCTCCGGGCCTCAAACCCAGCTGTAACCGCCTCTCGTCAGAGTACGGTGGGGGTTGCCACACCCAAAGACATCTAACCCTGTTAGACTTCTGTTCCTTTTTCTCTTTTTACTCTTATTTCACTTCTTTATTTCTCTGTACCTTTACTTCTTCACACACATATTTCCCAGTATTCTTTTAAATTAATTTACGGACAAGGTGTTACTAGGACTCAGGACACAACTAAAATTTAGCTATTTCCAATGCAGAAGAAAAGCTCTGCTTACCTTATTTTGGGCCCGTGTCCTTTGTCTGTTCACACCAGGTCCTTGTGTCCAATTGCGTACCGATCAGCTCTGTTTTCTTGCTCATCCCGGACGAGCCCCCAAAATTGTCGTGGTCCTCTGCCACCCCGGATTCGCTGATCGATCTCAAACGGTATTAACTAAGAACTTTCATAAAGTACAAAGAAAAGACAAAAGTCGTTGCTCGAGTTCGCCTGTGCACAGGGAGGATCCAACGGAGAGTCAGAAGACTAACTGCTGAATTCTGCCCCTTCACAAAATCAGGCTCTTTTTATTAGCAGACCCTTGCCCAAAATACACAGATGTTGCACGTCAGATTGACATCCTGTTTGTTATCATATTTGATAAACGATCTTATTGTTCTTTGTTTTCCACACTCACACTGGCTTCAACTCAAGACCTGGTTATTGTCACGTACACCTCCTGAGCTTCTGCCACAAGTTCAAGGCCTATCCTGTCGCATCAGATGTTTCACTACACATCCCGAGTTTAACTTAATTCCTGTTTCAGAGTGTCTGTGTATTTTATATTGCAGGATCCAAGCAGCATGCTTATGCATCCACACAGATTACATATTTGCACATTTTCCAAAGCATGTTTAAATGCAATACATTTTATATTTTCCACAAGCAGCATATTTATATTTTAGGCAGGTTATATGTTTTAGTGCATCTTTTAAAACATGATTATATATGTTGCATACTTCTATAAAATATGAACACATGAATACATTTCATCCACAGCGGATCGATCCAATTATCGATAGTATCGATACCAAGTTGGTATCGGTATCAAATCGATACTAGCCTGGAGAGATCAATTCTTTACTCTAAGTTCCGCTCTTGTTTGCAATGCTGCGGTTTCAGCAAGAGGAAACAGTCAGGTCGCCGGACTCGCCGCTCCTGTGCCCCCCCTTCTTGTATTTAGATGTTGTGCCATCACAGGAGTCACGTGACGTGACGTGACTTAGACGTACAAAGCAAACAGACAAGCAAGTTGCCGGCTCAGGTTAATCAGCACACGCACAGTGAAAATACAACAGCAGAATGGCAGAGAGGAAGAGGAGCGCCGTGTGGCTGTATTTTCAAGCCGAAAACGAAATTTGTAAAATGCTAGTCGGGTATAGTGGAAACACTACCAATTTATATAAACATAAAAAAACAATCCAAAAGAAAACATGGAGCTACAAAAACGCAGAGAGGAGGACAGAATAAATGTTGATAATAAAGCATTTTCTATTTAATTATAAACTTTGCCCTAATTCTGTCCTGGGTTTTAACCATTTAATAATAAAAAAGGAAACATCACAAAAATTACTTAAGGTCATGAAAATTATGATAATACTTATATATAATAATATATAATTATATAATATTATATAATAATTATAATTATGATATAACCAATGATGCATCCACCTTATTTATTGAAAAGTATCGGATCGGTATCGCCGATACTGGCCCGTATTTACTTGGTATCGGATCGATATCAAGTAATATAATATAGAAAAATATGCAGTATCGCACACCACTAACCTTTGGTACGTTTTTGGCTCCGCCTCTCTAAGGCTAGAATCACAACAAATCTCACACAAAGAATAAAACAACATAGTTGGAGTTTGAATTTACAAACAAAGGTCTTGCTTGATCTATAGAAAAAAATGCTATCAAAGATCCTTCTGTAAATACGTACATGCCTTACAAAAGTGTTAAGTGCAAGGTCATGGCCTAGATGCGTTTCTGGTTACACCTTCAAAGTAAAAAACCAAATAGTGGCGCATTTAAGTTTTAGGTCTCCGTTTAGGATTTATACTGAAGGTCCAATAGTCTATGCTATGATACTTCCGATCAAATACACGCATTCAAAGTGGATTAGTATCCTGGAGTTTCATTGGCTAAGAGGTGATGTTTGTCGGCCAATCGCTTTTCCTTTTGTTCACCAAAGCACATTGGAGAGCCAGCGACAGAACACAAGGTGATATTATTCTGGATTTCTTTTACAATTAAAGATTGCGAGTTTTGTTTAAACATTGTATTGATATTTTTTCTTGTTGATATTTTGTAAATAACATGAGATTGAATGCCTCAGCATACAATCAATAAATAATAATTATTCCTAAAACACCTAGCTAGCAACGATGTGTGGTTTGTAAATAATGTAGTACTTTGAATTTGGTGCGAGAAAATTGCTCAGCTAAAATATGTTTAAAGATAACGGTCGGAAAATGTATGGTAACTTGAGTTCACTTTCTGCAACCAAAATGTATTAAATAGTGAATTGTTCTATAGCACACTCATGTTTTAGATACGTCTTTTATTTGCACTTTATAGCCTTGATTATGGTTACTTATCTGTTAAACTTGATTTACCAGATAAGTAATGTAAATGTTAATTTTTGTATTGAAATATGTAATGAAATATGCTGTATAACCTTACCCTTAGTGGCGCTTTGGCCCAGAGGCAAGGTCTCTGTCATTGGTGTGGAACCCCAAGATTCACCTCCTGGGCAAGTTCGAATCCCGGTTAGGGCGGTTAATACCTTTCAGTGGACTCACCACCCGCAGGAAGGTTTGGGGGGTTGGTATGGTGCAGTGTGATTTGGGTGGAGACTGCTGCCCCCGCGACCCGGTAACGGATAAGCGGATGAAAATGGATGGATGGATGGATAACCGTCAATAAACATATTTAACCAGAAGTTCTGTCTTTGCCTGGACAGGGAAGCCAACACTGCAGCACCATGTGTGTGTTATCCACTCTGGTGAGGGGTCTGGTTCGAGGAGCAGACAGGATGTCCGAGTTCACTAGCAAATGTGGTTCTAGGACTCACAACAAAGGACATGGAGTGAGGCCCACTTGGATTAAACTCTCCAGCAAGTTTGTTGCCATTGTCTTGTACCGCATCCCCGAAGGAACAGAGGCTCTGCTGACTACACAGAGTCTGTTCAACAAGGTGGTTGCTCCTCGCATTAGGGAAGACTTTAAGAGCGGCACCTTTAGCAAAGAAAACCTTGAAAAATATGGATTTGAACCCACACAGGAAGGAAAACTCTTCCTGTGTGGGTTCAGATTTGTTAAATATCTTAAACAAATATCCTAAAAACTATATTTGTTAAAGATATTTTTAACCAGATTAAGAAAAGATGCAGGTTCCTAAAGATGTACCTGTGCTTTTGCGGACAAAATCTATTGCAATGTGAAACAAACCAACTTTAATTACATATTATTATTCAACTTATTTCGCTATATGTACTTTTCAAAATAAATACTATATATATATATCCATCCATCCATCCATCTTCAACCGCTTATCCGGGGCCGGGTCGCGGGGGCAACAGTCTGAGCAGGGACACCCAGACTTCCCTCTCCCTCGATACTTCCTCTAGCTCTTCTGGTGGGACCCCAAGGCGTTCCCAGGCCAGCCGAGCGACGTAGTCGCTCCAGCGTGTCCTAGGTCTTCCCCTAGGTCTCTTCCCAGAGGGACGGCACCCGAGCACCTCCCGAGGGAGGCGTCCGGGGGGCATGCGATGTAAATGCCCAAGCCACCTCAGCTGACTCCTCTCGATGTGGAGGAGCAGCGGCTCTACTTCGAGCTCCTCCCGCGTGACAGAGCTCCTCACCCTATCTCTAAGGGAGCGCTCTGCCACCCTGCGGAGAAAGCTCATTTCAGCCGCTTGAATCCTTGATCTCGTTCTTTCGGTCATGACCCACAACTCATGACCATAGGTGAGGGTAGGAACGTAGATTGACCGGTAAATTGAGAGCTTCGCTTTTCGGCTCAGCTCCTTCTTCACCACAACGGACCGATACAGCGACCGCATTACTGCGGCCGCAGCACCGATCCGCCTGTCAATCTCACGCTCGATTCTACCCTCACTCGTGAACAAGACCCCCAGATATTTGAACTCCTCCACCTGAGGCAGGACTTCATCCCCGACCCGAAGGGTGCATACCACCTTTTTCCGGTCGAGAACCATGGCCTCGGACTTAGAGGTGCTAATTTTCATCCCAGCTGCGTTACACTCTACTGCAAACCGCCCCAGTGCATGCTGCAGGTCCTGGTTCGAAGAAGCCAACAACACCACATCATCTGCAAAAAGCAGAGATGAAATCCGGTGGCTACCGAACTGGACCCCACCCGACACCTGGCTGCGCCTAGAAATTCTGTCCATGAAAATAATGAACAGAACCGGTGACAAAGG